CAGCAGCTTTGTGCCCCGCCAGCTTCTTGTTCCATGCCTACCATGGTGTTTTTGTACAGACAGCACTTCAGACAGCAAGTATGCTGTAGTCGGCAATCATTCGTTTTGGTACAGAGTGGGACAGGTAGGGGGTGATGTTGCTGTAGTCGAACGGTGAGACGGACGTGTAGTTCAGTTTTGGGCACGCGTACGGTGCTGCAGGGATTATATATAGGTGTAGTAGTACCTCTTCGGGCTCTTGTACACCTTTTTCTTGCTACGTGTGCGTGTTCTTTAGATCCTCAGATGGCTCCAGCACTTTCGTGACCACGGGCCGAGAGTCTTTGCTAGATTTTGGCATTTTGCAACTGGCATACGGTTTAATGTGAAGTCAACAACAACAACAACAACATGTCCTATTTGTTCTTGGGTCAACTCAATACTGGTAGTAGGAATGATTTCCATCATCATCAGTCTAATCAGTTTGTCGTACATTCCTTCTAACGTTTCGCTCATGCCCAAGTCTGCCGGATCATATAGAATACTACCGCTACTGTATACATTATATCCTCAAGTCTTAAACTATTGGCTTGTGAAGCCAGAGCGACAGTGATGATGTCATCATTATAATTGCAAGCAAGATATTTCCGAACAGATGGAGCGGGGAGTTTGGGGTTCAGCAGTTAGTTGCTATTGATTAAATTTGGTGGTGCCAACTTTGCCCCATATTACAGGATTGAGGTTGGGGGTATGTGTGTGTCTACAACGGACATGTTTTTTATTATTATTAGCATCGACCGCGCTAACCGGCTGACCGATGAAAAGACGTCAGTCTTAGTGCGGTTGAAAACACAAAACACTTATTATATCTACCATGAACTGGGACCCCGTGAGGGGGCAGCATGGGGGAGGCTAAACTATCGTTAGAATCAGCAGAAACAGCAGCAACAAACAGAAGAAAACTGCACCCGTCTACCAAGGCTATTACCTAGTACTCGAGTTCGTTTAGGAGTACTTTCACCAGTATCCTCCTTGTTTTCGCTACCATCATTCTGATCCACATTTCGACAAGAAGAATCTCTGGGCAGTTGTTCCCTAGCCCCACGTTTCTTGTGGGGAAGGTCATCTGGCTCAAACCCTTTGCTCTCTTCCACTCCTCCATGATTTCCTGCTCCATCGTCGTCTTCATCCTCCTTTCTTCCCTTTCCC